TGGGTGCAGGCAGGGAACGCGCCTCTCGGGCGTTTCTAAGGGGACTGGGAGAATAAATCAGTTTTCTGGCAGGATCCGAGCAGCTCTGCCTGAGGAAGCACGTAGCGCACGAGTGCCAGGAGCCAGTTCTCCTGCGGGAGCTTGCCCGTGTCCCCGAGTGTGTGGTGGCCATGGCCTCGGCTCGGCTGTGACACAGCCCAAACCTGTCCTGCTGCTCCCAGGGTGACACCCCTGGCCAAGCCCTCACCTCCCCTGTGCCCGGGCCAGCAGAGCCATTCAGCAGGGATGCCATTGTACTTGCCGGCCGCCAGCCAGGCTCCCCAGTGAGCCAGGGTGCTGGGGAGCCCTTGGGGTGCTCGGGACCCCTCTAGTGCCCTCCCAGGGTGGGCAGGGCTCATGCTGGGGGTTCCAGGAGCTGTGAGCGATGAACTCTCAGTCTGTGCAGGTGCAGACCCTCGTGTTCCCCCTCTTTCAGGGCCACCTGCCCCCAGCTACTGCGTTCCCCGGGGCTGTGTCCATTCGTACCCAGGCAGAAGGCAACCTCCTCCCACCAAAACTCGCCGGGAGCCTGGGACAGCAGCGGCGGGGGGGAGAAATCAGTCTGGGAGGGAGGGCTTTGGAGACAGGGGTGGGTGCCGGAGAGATACCAAGGGTGGCAATGTTTCCATCAGCACCTATTGATACGGTTCCTATAGGGGGAGGCCACAACCTGCTGAGTCCCAGCACGAGGGTGGTGTGACCCCAAGGCTGGTGTGACCCCGGCAGGTTATGGAAACACCTGGGCAGAAGGTAGCACAGTCCTCGGACACGGCTGCCAGCTCCTGCTGAGGGAGCTGGGCTGATTAATGCTCCAGAACTGATAACTCCTAATGAAAAGCCCTAGGCGCCTCTATTAACCCTTTGCAGGACATTTCTAGGTGGACCCATGCATCTGGGTCCCTGCTCGGGGCCTTGAGGAAAGGCAGGCTGGTGGGCAGAGGGGACAGGAGCCCCATCCAGGTACCAGGGATGAGGAGGTGCTGGCAGAGCTTGCGGGAGGATGTTTGTGCATGGCACTGAAGATGGACGGTCGGAGAGGTCTGGCTGAAGGACAGGGGCCGTGGGAAGGGCTGGCCGGCCCAAGCCTCAGTGTAAGGTGGGGAAACAGTGGCAGGAGGCAGCTGGTCTCACACGGGAGTGACGCCACCGAGATTAGGACAGAGCGACACCGCTGGAGGTGGAGATGATGGGATCGTAGGGTAATCCCGGCTAGGAGGGACCTCGGGAGGTCTCTAGTCCAGCCCTGGTCACGGCAGGGTCAGCTCTGAGGTCAGACCTGGCTCAGGGCTTTACCCAGTCTGGTCTTGACAACCCCCAAGGATGGAGATGGAAGATGGACCACGATCGAAATCTCTAAAGCCTCCAGAGAGCAGACAACCCGAAAGAAGAGAGGGTTTCCCATGGGGTTTCTCTGCACAAGCATCACCAAGCGCATGGGATGGGGCACAGCCCAGTGCTATGGCTGGCCACCGAGGAAACCCGTAAGCCACAAAGGGTGACGAGAACCAAGCACGCGGGCCTGCAGGCAGCTTTAGCTGATGCGGACAGAGATGCTCTTCCCCCGTAACAGCCTTGCTGGAAGAAGACGTAACAACTATTAACACCGAGAACGGTTGGCATCACCAACCGTGATGGCCGAGTAGCAGAGAAGGATGGGGATGAGAAGGAGATGTCACCCCAGCCGTGCTGCTGAAGCACTTTTTCTGGAGATTTTGTGGTTTTCCTCCTTGG